AAATAAAATAAAATTAACATTTGGCGATTATTTCAACAACTCTGTACTATAAAAAGATACTTTTTGATATTGATACACCAGTACCTTACACGCTACTCTTGTCAATGTAGTTCTCTTTTTTTTTTTTCTTCCCAAAAAATTATACATTTTGAATTATAACTAATGCAGTTCACATATTTCAATATGAAGCCAACAAATTCGTCAAAACTGATTTAATCTGAGTGATGTGATTGCTGTCTCTGTTACGAATATGATTACGAGAAATAAGCAAGAAAAGCTGTGGTTATTTATTCAAAAGATCAATTAAATTTATTGAGAACTTAATGCAGCTTCAATTACATTAACAGACACTTTGTTCTGATTAATCTTCTAACATTTACTACACTTAAATAGCAATATGACATAACAAGCCACACATCACAAGCACTAATGAGCACTCGATTGACACCATTTTGTTACACTTCAAATATCATTGCATTTAATTTGGTATAACACGGGTCAATGTTATTGCACTTTCATTAAATTATTTCTTCGCTTTTTTTAAAATTTTTTCTTTTAAGATAATGTTAGTGAGAGATTAGAAATTATTCATTTCCCACGGTCGGAGATACGTAAGTGCAGTATACAGTCAAAACGATTTCACACCTTTTGTAATTAAGTAAATAGCAACGGAGACACTAGGTTCGCCATCTTCATCCCTTGGGGGGTTTAACGCCTTGACGATGATTAAAACAATCTGTAAATTAAACTGTTTATGTACTCCTATGTTTGTTTATTGCATTTCGTACCTTTCTGTGGATGAACATTTACATGAGATTTACATGTACAGACCACGAAAAGACATTTCATATGATTGAAATAAGTAAATGAAAAGTTTTTTTACGATTCAAATATGTGTGCGTGATTGTTATGGGAGGTGGGACTGGAGAGGGGGGGAGGCTTTGAAAGAACAGAAGGGCGTGAGAGTATATTTAATAAATAAAGATCATTTGCACAGTATCAGGACATTTTATTAGTTATTATTCTATATGATGTATTTCTTCGAGAATGCTTTTGCCCTTAATAATTATCTTAAGAAAAAAACACGTATTTCACAGGTTTTATTTGACAGATTTGTGGCTTAGGCCCTACAATACGGGTAAGTAGGTATCTGATTATTGAACTTTTTCATCGCATGTTGAAATTAAAAGTAAGTTCACAATATGGGAAATAGTTTTTCAGTTGAAATCGTCTACATTGCACTGACAATTATTGAAGTAAAATTGTTTACGAAAGCGATGAGACCAATGCCTGCAAAATTTTAGTGGCGATGAACAACGGATTTTGAATCTAAACAAACTTTCATATTTCTTTTAGTAACGATACTTGTATCTAATAACTTCATTTTTAAAAGCCTTGATTTTTTTATTGAAATTTCATCAAACACGTTTTGATAAGAAGGTTCTTAGGAAAGTTCCCACGGTCAAAGATTCAAATTAAATTGTCCATTTCCGTTGTATTGTAACTGCGGTCTTGTGTTTGCCCGTGTTAAGTTAACTGCTTAACCCCATGCATGAACGCGCAAGCATTGATCACAGACCCCCGCAATTAAACTGACCCGAGGAGGAGAGATAAGCATCACCCCTCCTCCGGCGATTCACCAGTTAACCAGGTCGGCTTAAGACCAGATAAACATCTGTTTACGACCCTCCCGTACTAGCCATAGAAAACAAACCTGTTGTTTATATCACCCTAGAGAACCCAGGTTAAGAAGACAATTAATTCAACTGGTCCTGGTTGGCGACAATGGATTTAACTGGTCTGGGATGAGCTATAAAATACAGGCATGTACCCCCATCCTCACACATCACCTTGCAGTACGCTAGAAGACAGTAGCACAGCAGCGAGCCCAGCTCCAAGTTTCCTTTATTATTTCACCACTCAAGAATGGCCAGAAGTGTAGAACTCCAGAACGCCTTGTTGCCTGTGACCCAGCCTCTCTCCATTGATTGCGACGGCGAGGATGTCTTCACAATGCTAGGTAGGTTATTTCTCTGCGAATCTTTCGCGGTAGAGCCTTGTTTTACTGTGTTAGGTGTGTCAAAGTTGTAATCTTGCAGCCTTCTTAATTTACTGTGACGCAAAAAGAATAGATAAGTCGTTTGTTTTGCTCGTGATTATTACTGTAGTACCATCGTTTTATATTCAGATTTTTGTTTATATTTAATTGGAAATATATTGCAGTAAGAAGTGTAATGTACAAGAATATTTATCTTCTATCGATTTCTAGAGAAATGCAAATATGCATAGAATTTACATTTTGCAGATTTGTTTTTAACTTTCAAAGCGAACAAGTTACAACACTAGGTTGCTACCATGATCACTAAAACTGACCTACGTTTCAATATATTTCAGGCTTGTTCTCTTGGGAAATGGACGGCGTTGAAAGCTGCCTGCTCTCCCCTACTGACCTAATCAGCGGCACACCAGCTCCCAGCCCCGTTACCGGGCCCCAAGACCTGTGGGGTGGCGAAGGGCATGTTTCGTCCGAGGACTTCGACCTCATGTTAATGCAACACTGTTTCCCAGCGCTTGAGCCCTGGGTGGACCGTAACAACAATGACATCAACGCTGGTGAGGGTTCCATCGCCTCTCCGTCAACACAAGGGTCATCTGGAGACCGAGAAGAGATGCCGCTGGACACCAAGAGAGACAAACAGAGCTGTATGCCTACAGTGAACAGCAGGAAAAGAGCCAAGGTCACCTCCGTGTGTGGTGGAACCAAGCGTAGGAGAACTGATCCAACGAAAAAGGTAAGAATAAACTATATTTGAACTGATTTAAAAATGTATACTAATGTAATGATTTTATATTGAATGGTAAAAGTCCAGTTATGATTATGGTAAAGAAAATGTGTAATTGTAGATATAGCTTGTTTGTACTTTGAAGAAGTAAAAAAAAAAGAAGTGATAAAATGTTTTTTCATTAACGCCTTTTCCTTTTCTTCCCGGAAAATTTCTTTTCAGTGCCAGTAGTCCCGTAAAGATATTTTAAATCTTTCAGACTGTCAAAGAAACACGCAACACCAATAAAAACACATTTCAATCATCGCATGTCTTTAATATTTCTCTTTCATATTTTTCAGATAGATAGGAGAGTCAGCGTTTCAGCCCTTCGTAACCAGCTGCTCTTCGGCTTGGAACTGACGTCAGGATGTCACGTGATGCAGATGGAACCGTTTCTCCGGATTTAATCATTTTTAATACCAGAGACATTAAACTTTTTATAACTGTAAATAGTGTATATAACCTGGTTCACCACCAGATGTACATAGCATGTCGTAGCAGATAATCCGGTTATAAGAAAGATACAAAATGCCATATTTTCTGTCGTTGATGATAGCTGATAATTGATTTATGCAGTGTCTTTGCGAAGCTTCTCTTAAAGTAAGTTGGCAATAACGATGGCAATAAAGTAAAGTTTGTTCTTATGAACGTTTTACATTTTAAGACTCCACTCCATGTTGCCAAAAATTAAGTTCTTTTAAGTGTTTGTAATTGTTAGTCTGTAAAAAAACTTCCATTGTCATTTGTGTACATATTTTTCAAGTTTCACTCACAGCAATAAATTTCATCGTTTGTACCCTCGTATACATACAGCTGTTTTATTGATAATATGATGTATAGTTTCAGTTAATTTCCAAACCAAACCGTGTTCGATCAAAATTGGTTAACTGTTTTATAAATATTGCCTTTTGTGCCTCATGTTAAAGATCAAACCGTGGTGTGGAATACAAGTGATCTGTTCCCCAAAGTTACAGATAATCTTATGATTAAATAGTGCTCGATAGTTTTGTTTAATATGAAAATGTAAATATCTCACTTTTACAAAGTCCAATTTTCAAACTTTATGTTTTACCAGTCGATCTAGTACAGTAGAACCATACACTATAAAGAAATCGTTTTAAAAATTTAGGTGTGATACTATAAGAAATACGGCAATCACACCCTCTACCGTGGATAACCGATTATGTGCCCCTTTCCGTAGCCCGAGTAGAGATTTGTGTATTGAATGAGCCAAAGACACATCTGTGAACATCGAGTGAAGAATCAATCTCATTCTTTGTCACTGTTAGAATTAAGTACAATCACTCTGCACGAAGCGATCAGCGCTGGTGCTACGCGGAGAAACATTTTACTCGTGTGGTCCAAATATGGTGGTATTTAATGCCAAAGGTTTAATACATATGTTGCAAAAAATACAAAAAAATCACTTTCGTTGGAATATTTGATAGGCAAGGATATTAAAGGACAATGTTCATGTAAAAATCCATTTCTCGAATTTTGAAGATACAGCACTCAATCTATACACTAGAGGTATGTTTTAATCGATCCCCGCCATTTAAAAATTATAAAAACAATCTATTAGTAGTAAAAAAGCGTTTAGTAAACCTCACCTCAATATGCGTAAATGAAGCAACAGATCTGGGTCACGTGGTACTGTGACGACAATCACGATAAAGGTCTATGAGACTCAACTGAGCTACATGGTGCATACAGACGGAGAAGTTAAGGAAAGTTGTGTTGAACGGAGTTGAGGAATTTTCGTTATGCCTCGGTGTGTTGCCGTGGGATTCACCAAAATTGCAGCTCTCGTTGACAATCTTTCTTTGTCTGTGACGGTCTTCCGTGACTTACTTACTAACTTCGGTGACAATAGTTGCGATGCTCTAGATCATGGTCACCTCAGGTGGTTTAGATCATATCAAGAGCTGGTAGTCTTTCAGATTAACTGTCATCAGTTGGCAAACTTACTGATTGCTGATGCATTTTAAATGCATTGTAGTTGACCAAAAGCTCGTTTACAACAAACCTGTTAATTATGCACCGCTGCAATTCCCAAGCCAGGTAATAACAGGTATGAAACTCGTCTTGGTGGGCTTTCATATTTTTCAATATATCTCATTTATTTCATGGGGTTATTTTATTGGTATTTGTAAATGACGTTAAATATCAATACTTAAACAATTAAGTTCAAACACGGTCGCGAACATTAATAAAAGAAATTGCTCTCAGGGTATCTTGAAGC